GAAAGAAAATCTCGTACATGAGAGAAGTAGTCAATCCATCTATTGATCCATATACGCCTTTGTGTAAATGTTTAAAGTAAGAACTTTGATTTAAAGTCAAAGTGATGGAAATTAATTTTTTTTTTATTTTATTACTTAAACAACCTTCACACAGCGTCTGTCCTCTTATCTCTATTTTCATTACATTTTTTTCCTCTTTTTTAATCCTCGCGGCATCTCAATTTTATCCCTCGCCTCAATTTTTCACTGATTTATCAATTACGTCACTTCTGCTCATTAGTTTATGTCTACATGTCTACCCATTCATTTGCCAAGAGGATATCTACAGTTGATAATCTTTTGCACTTACTCATTCTAACTATTCATTCGTTCATGTGGTTTTGCTTCCATACTTTAGGGAAACAATCACTGGACTTTATGAAAACCATGTCAAAGAAGCAACAAGCTTCTCTTTTTGTGATCTGGTTGATCATCTTAGCGTCCAGGCCACATGCTATAGAGCTGCCCTATGAGGTCCTGGACACCATTATGGAGCTGACTGATGCCGATCCGGACTTTGCAGACCTCAACCGAGTAAATATTTCTGATGAACTGGGCCCTACTCGTCCCATCTACCGACTTGATGTTGACCCAAGTTACATTGCCTATTACGAAGTTGAGATGGGAAGTGATTACGTCGTGTTAGCATCCGGAAGCCAAACTGGAGATTACCGCAAGGTAGGAAGTGGCCCGGATCCAAGACCGACTGATATGTTTATGCAAAGAGAAGAAGATAACATCGAGCGGTGTGAGAAGTTCTATCGGCTATCACTAATGGGATTGACAGCTTGCACTGATGATAATGGAACTTTTGTGACAGCAACTTACAACTGGACAAAAGATTATCCATGGGTTGGTGTTTAAATCGTTTATGAAAAGCTTTCAACGAGCAAAGACACGATTTTTCTTTTTTTCAGTTTAGTCATCGCACTTTCGAATTGTTTTTTTCTTTGCCAATCTTGACCATCCTCGTTACTCTCTGATTTATTCTTATAATTTTTGTTCCCTTCATGTGATTTACATCAGTTTGAAGGTTGCTTTACTCATTTCCTTGTTACCAGTGTTTTACTGACCCTTCTTACCTTGAGGCCGAAAGTGTCTCAGTTTACATAATATACCGCTACCTGTTTGACCAACATCGTCTTAGCTTATCAATTCTGAAGTGCTCATTTAACCTTGACTATGTAGAGAGAACTATTGTGAAAGTTATTCCGCATTTTTCATTAACGAAAATAGCTCTATGGTCACGGTTGCGGCACGAGCAAGGATCTCTCCAACCAAACACTAACAGCGCCGAGCGCGTCAGGAAACCACGTGCTTAATCTTTCCCTTAACAAATTCTTACGATCAGAAGCAAAAATGCAGCGTCAACGTCACCTTCCCTTTATTTCGCCATATGAACTTTTCAAAAGGCACGAGGTAGATGCACGTGTTCCAATTGGTTTTGTTAATCAATGCAGCCATCTACTGATAATCGTCATTCAAATCCAAACCTAGGCTTGGCAGATAATAGCCGGGTAGTTGCATTAAAGAGATCCTCACTTCTGTAGAGAACTACTCGAAATGACGGAGTTTGTAACTTAGTATAGCAATCAATGGAAGATTAGTTTCTGGTTTGGGGAAATGGTTAGCACGAAGGCTAAATTATATTATTCTTAATTTTTCCTACTCGAACAGATTGAGAATTGGCTTGAGCTGGAGCAAATGGTAAACAGAAGTCTGGATACATTTGAAAACTTATGGAAAAAGCGGGCAGGAGATATGCGGTCAAAGTCGGACTGGGCTGCCACGTGTGAGTCAAGGGAGAAGAAGGGAACATAAGGGAACAAACTGGCCCCGAGGAAGGCCTATCTCCGAAATCGATTGTTAGAGTCGCAGTCATCGAACGTTTCCAATCTGTTGATTTGTACGTAGCGAACAATGGCAAGTCGAGCCTGCGGACTGGTTCACGATCAGGATGGCAACAAAGACTCTGCAAAGTGCTTGTCGACGTGTGTAAACCTGATGGGAGTACGAAGATCAATCCATCTGCAATAAAGGAAACACCAAATCATCTGTTTTACCTGAAGCTTGAGGTGCACGAGAATCGGACTTTTGAAGGAAACTCTTTACAATGAGAAGAAATTGGCTTCGTTATTGAACTCAAAGCAAGCAACAGCAGAGTGATCTTGAAGCACTTTGCTGTGGATTTACATTCTAAACGGCATAGGCGTAGTGCATGGAAACCTACAAGTGGTGATGAGTCGAGGAGCAGCTCTGGTTGGGTGAATGCCGAAGTCAATCCCCGTGAGTATGAGCTCCCTGACTGTAATCAACACGAATGTTGTGGCTGTGTGAGTGGATGCGCTCTTGTGGCCTGGGCTCAAATCTTCCGCTACTACGACAGCCTCGGATCAAACCGCTATTCAGTTTACGCCTTACAGTGGTAACATATATCGTGATAAGAGAACCGAGTTACCAACTTGGATGTCTTACGAAATAACGCGTTTTGTAGAAGACATTCGATCAACACTCGAAACTCACTGTGAGAATGCTGTAGGTACTGCTTTGACAAAGAAGCAAGTTAACATAGAATCGTGGTTCAAAGCACGCGAGGGGTCTAGGGTACGAGTGGTAAGCTACAGACTGTCTCGCAAAAAAAGAGGCTCTACCAAATGGATTGATAGTTCTTCGATTCATAAAAAGGCTGCAATGTATATCAAGATTGGGTATCCTGTCGTAATAGACTTTGACACTGCAAGAGGAAACGGTCACTCGGCCGTCGCTACAAAATACAAAGAATGGCACAGAAATCTTCGTCCACTGTCGATCCTGGATGACTGGATGGTGGTGGGGTAGACGAAGAAACGAACACTGTTGGTGGGAGAAAGAGTACAAGTACGAGTTCTATCTGCATTATGGCTGGGGATATCGTAACAACAAATGGCAGGCAGTAAGTCGTTTCGGTGTCCACAATGCACACTTTATGTGGGCTGACGACAATCTTTGATAAAGAGGTGTGAAAAAATCGACCATCGCTTTGAGGATTCACAACCCCTTTGTTTTTGCAATGATTGAAAATATTGCGTATACGATACTCCACTGTTGAGTTATGCATGTGCCTTTCGAGTCGACTTGTGCACCATCAGTTTTCTTTTGTGTATACAGTTTGTAATTACCAGATTTAACGATCTTCCTTTGTTATTGAAGTTATCAGATATAATCATTGTTGGTAAAATCGTACAAAGCAACCTTCTCTCGGGTGTTTCGAAAACACAGACCTCGAAAACGCAGACCGCAGACTGCAGACCTCGAAAACGCAGACCTCGAAAATGTAGACCTCAAAAACGCAGACCTCGAAAACGCAGACTGCAGACTGCAGACCTCGAAAACGTAGACCTCAAAAACGCAGACCTCGAAAACGCAAACCTCGAAAAAATTTGTTTTCGACAATTCCAAGAGAACCTTTGTTCACGTGCAGACGTCCAACGTTGAGCGCGGGACATAACCATATATGGCTCCTGAAAAAGACATTCTCTGGTTTCAAGTCGCGGTATACCACATTCCTTGAAATAAAAAATTTCAACTCCCTCGGCGATATCAATCGCTACCTTGGGAAAAAGCGGTAAAAAATGTTGAAAGGCTTCCCCTCAATAAAAAATTCCTAGATCCACTCCTGATTCTGAAAATTTTAAATACCTCGGGATCAATACACAGGAATACACAGAGAGAAGGGGCTGGAAACAGGCGTGGAGAGACCATGCCAAGGTCACAGAGAGGTAATGTAATTTCTGGCGTTCAAGTGAATGTGAAATAGCCCGAAATGAAATATTTAATTTCTGTTGCAAGAGAGCAGTAGGGACTTGGCCTGGTCAATGCATCATGGGACATGATGACAGCTACGTAAGACAGTTATTGTTATGGGATCATGACCGTTCGGTGGTGGGCCAAAACTGCCAAAATAAAACTAACGTTGTGCAATGTATAGTGGAGCTGAAATTAAACCTTTAAAAAAAAAACCCTTAAAAGGGTTTACAGTCAGTGACAAGAATACTTTACGACTTCTTTTGAATTAAAAAGTTATCATTTATATTCAAAAGTGTCCCCTTTCTCCCAAAACAGTATTGAACTCTGTGAAGTTAGGTAGAGAAAACTTAACATTCATGATGGGAAGGGTGGGATACACTCCCTGGACCTAGTATTTTCAAGAGCAAAATCAATTTTTTCCTTCTTGACACCTCAGAACCTCAGAAGCTAGGAATTAGCTGTGTTAGCTTGTCCTAAAAATTTATGTTGCAAGTTTTCTTCAGATGAATGTTGACTTGACCTGATCGTCTTGTGCACAAGATAAGAGATAAAGTTGTATATTATTAATAACTATTTATTGAACTTTCTATTCAGATGAAACAGCCACAATACGGGTGACAAACTTGTCAGAGGATACAAGGGAATCTGACCTCATGGAACTCTTCCGCCCATTTGGACCAATCTCAAGGATTTTCTTGGCCAAGGACAAGAATACCAACCAGTCAAAGGTAGTGACTCTTTATGTTTTTTCACTGTGTGTGAAAGTTTTATTTTAAGGTTGGGGATGTTGAGAAATTTCTTTAAAGGACTATATATCGTGCTTGTAAAGCCACTTGTGGAAGCACAATTTATTTTTGGCTTTCAAAGCTATCCACTTCTCATCTCTGCTGTGGAGAATGCAATTGCCTAACGATCAGTACAGTGAACGCTGAGTCAAGAAGTTCCAGGTTCAAGCCCTGGCTAAGTCATTTTGTTGTGTTTATGGGCAAGATATTTTTTTCTCACAGTGCCTTCTTGGACACAGGAGTTAATACGGGCTTAGGTGAACAATTTACCCTTACACTGCCCTTCCATTCAGGAGTAAATACAGGCAAAGGTGAACTATCAGGAAGCCTGGGGAAACGCCAGTGGGTAACTTGTGGTTGAGTAGGATCTCATCCAGAAGGAGATGGAACCTTCTGGTTTGGTTTTATCAGCCAGGTGCTTCACTGAAAATGCAATTGTTATCAGCGCGTCCACGATAAATGCTATCCCAAAGGCAATGGATCCATGCTTTTCTTTCTGAGGAGCGATTTTCGCGCTCGTTTCGTCGTGAAATCTCCACAGCAAGACGAAACACGTGAGCATAGTGAGTGTTGTGTCTAGAGCTGTGGCGAGGACAGATGAACTGTTCATGGTGGCTAAGAGAAAGAAGGATGCCCCGGCGAAAATCACAGACACTACTAATCTCGTCATAGTCACCGCTAGCGCCATCTTTCTCCATTTCTCTCTTTCACAAACCTGTAATATTGTTTGTGGCTTAGCTTCTTCCCTGTGTTCGTCGTGAAAGGAAATGCAAGGTGATTTTTCAAAAACGCTGTCAATTTCTCCGGGATTGAACTCTGCTTTAAGGCGCATTCCAAGCTGTGGGGATGATAAGGGCGAAAGCTTCCGAGGACTGGAATTAATCACTTGTGCAGATGACTTCTTCTGTGCCATGCCTCTACTGAAGATCTCTTGTGGAGAGTTGTTCACTGATATCTAGACACAGTAAGCAATGTGACTTGTTTGGAGAACCAGCAATGATTGCAATGCTATTGTGCTTTTGTTATGTAGGGTGAAAAAAAAAGTTTAAAAAAACATTTAACAAAGAAACTTGTCCGGGTTATGAGTCGTTAACCTTTACTAGCTATGATATATAAAAAAAAACATCTATTCAGGAACGTAGACGTGTTTGACATAAACTATTGAATGCGGCTCATTTGAGCTGCTAACGACTGCAAAGTTGAGGAATGTGCGTTAATATAATAACAATCCTGGGGACACTCAAGATGAACTGAGGCATTGAGGTCAGCACCACGCTTCACTAACCTTTTTACCAGAAAGACTCCAGAAGTAACTTGTTTTGTTGTGTGTTTTCCCATGTTGTTTTAAAGTAGAGAGTTGTTAGTTATCACAGTAGTTTATATACATATAATTTTAAGCTCTCTGTTAGTGCAGTTATGTAGTAGAGGAAGACTGCTGTCGGATTGCAGCAATCTTGAAATGTTGCTCAGGGCTGAGATAGGGCACTAGGGCATTCAGGGGAATTGCGGTTTCAATTAGAGAACAGAATCTATAACCTCTTTACGAAACAATGTTCAAAGCTATTTGTATACCCCTTACTCATTGAAAGCAAAAGGTTTCTTCTTCCTACACTCGCGAAATAGTGTAATTACGGAACCATTGTTCAAAGATCACTTAAGAGTATTTTGCATACTTCTCACTATTTGAAAGAAAAATTTTTTATTTTCTACCCATGCTCCCACCAAATCCGACATCCCAAGTTTCTATTACACGACAGAAGAGAAATGCAATGCTCCTTCATCTTAATGCAAGGAAGGCTGCTTTGTCGTAGTCGTACTGTGTCCTAAATACTTTGCAATTGAGTTACATCATCTTCGTATCGGAGGGTTGGCTCTTCATAATTGGAGAAGCTCTAATTTTTTTTTAATGAAATTGACGTACACAATAAGCTTTGGAAACAAACAAATAACAATAAATTGGCTTTAAGTAAATTTTCTTTTTCTTCTTACGCTTGCGCCAAATGTTTAACATCTAGATCTTTCAGTATCAGACTACAAAAAAAAAAAAAAAGGAAAACTTCATAATGTTCCTTCATCTTACTACAGGTCTGTTTTATCTCATATTACTCTGCTTTACAAACTTTGATTCACAACATTTTCCTCAGTGTGAGATTCTGCCCGGCGTCACAACTTGAGAAGCTGTTCATTTTTTAATCTTAATGACATCCACAATAGACTTTTGAAACGAACGAATAACAATAACGAACTAATTGAAAGAAATAATCTCGTTCTCTTTGCCCTTCCCGCCAAAATTGAGTAAATTTCTTACACGACTATAGAAACAATAATTTTCACCATACTCCTTCATCTTAATAAATGTCTGTTTTATCTTAGCACTGTGTTCTACACACTTTGTCTTTTAAAATATTCGTAGTAGAGATCAAGCTTATTACAATTTGTGAAAAAAAAACAATAAGACTGACTCAGAAATAATGTATTTATGTGTGTATTGTGCTGTATTTGCGATACGTTCCCTACTCTCAGCGAGTAGTACGTGGGTTCTTTAAGGTCCCCATCTAAGCAACACAGACAAGATACAGAATACGGGGCTTACGGTTCATCGTCCTCATCCGAGAATACTAGATGTCTAACCATTTGCTGATGTTATAGCAAAGGCAACACAGATCCTGAGTCAATGAATTTGAATATTTGAAAATCATATATGTATACTGCGGTTTCACGTAACGTATGAAAGCGATCCTCGCGGTAATAAACCCTACTTATGTAATAATGGAAATAAGGCCTGAAAAAATTCAGGCCGGTATTGGATTTGAACCCAGGCTCTGCGATACCGGTGCAGTGCTCTACCAACTGAGCTAACAAGCCAACTGGTAGCTGGTCATTATGTTGGTTCCCTGAGTGTTAGTTCGATCTTTTAATAAGTCCACTCGGTCAGGAGTGTTAAGTTTTTAAAGTCCCTTCTAACCCTCCACTTCAAAATGAAAACTAAAAATAGAACTTAAATAATTTTAATACTAACAGAGAAAATATGATGTTAAAATTAGGTTTAATTCAGATTCGGTAAGAAAGCTTTACATTTAAATGAAAACTATACTTGAAAGAAGCTTCGAAAAGAGAGACTTAAAAACTGGCCCTCGAATAGACTTTCTTTTAAACTGTTCTCAACCGTTCTCTTGGTAATAAGCAATAGTGAATAATAATGGAACAAGTCTCTGCTTGTTTCTTTAACTACGGTATCGGTGAAGAACGAATAAACAACGGTTGGCCGATCAAGATAGATTGATAGTTAGATAGCTTTATTAAAAATCGCACGGCAGCCTGATAAGGCTGAATTGCCGGATTATTTACAATATAATACTGGCTAAAATTATAAATTATATTTACAGAGCATGTTATTTACAAGTATAATACAAGAATACTACACAGACCTATTGTCTTCGGACGGCTGGTAAATATGTCTGGGGGAAACGCTTGGTGCACATTATTAGGTTAACAAACTAACGTTGATTTCAGTAAGATTATAATTAAGTAATATCATAATGGTTCTTCGCTGGCAAAAAAGGATGAAGCACTAACTCGGTATTGGACACTATTGGTTCGAAAAATTTATTACATTGCTCGATGCGTCTATCCCTCAGTGAGTTCAGGTTAAACAATGAAAAGTGGTCGAGGTTGCTGGGTTGTCAGGCGGAGAAAATTAAATTTTCTGACGCACGTTTTAATATATTCTTAAACAGGAACGATATCCAAAAACATCTTACGAGAGACTGTTCAAGAAAAAAGGTCTTATTGGAGTACACCTTCCCCTCGTTTGAGCCTCTCCAGGACTTGAATAACCCTGAATGAATTCGAATTAAGTCAAAATTCTTTCACTAAAATGAACTATATACGCAGTAATTTAGCGAATTCTCTGCGGTATTTACTGCTACGCATACAATATATGAGTGGATTGACTGCTGAATTACAAGCTACTAACGTCTGCGCCCAGCTAAAGGCTTTCTTAAATAGAACAAATTTCGTAGAAGGGTGAAAAATTCCCGGTAGCAGTAGCAAGGGCATCCAACATAAGGTATAAACTCCTACCACCGTTAAAATGGTTTTAGTTACCTTTTTCTCCGTCATTGTATTACCAGACCCCGGATGTATGTTATGAATTCTGTTTTCTTGACGTTTGGCAGCGATGAAAATATATACATATACGATAATTGTTGTGATTAGTAGAGAGGAAATGTATATTGAGGCGTAAAACCTGGGAATCAAAACAGGAGAACCGTACAGGATAGCAAATATAAGAGAAATAATCCAGACAAATGCTATTCCTAAAATTGCTTTTCCTGCTGTCAGAACCGCTACGTATTGGAAAGGGAATCTAATCGCACAAACGCGATCCACTGTCATCGCAAATATGTTAGTTGCCGATGCAACCGTGGAAATATGGCCGAAGAAGCTTTTAATGATGTTAAAGTTCTTGAATTGTTCATCATCTTGAAATTTGTAATTGTGGTCATAAATTACCATGGGTAGATACACCACACACACAGACAAGTCTGAGATCGCTAAACTTGTGATGAAAAGATCAGGAACCCTGCGAAGATTTATGTTCGTGATGACCGCGAGCAGTATCAAAGAGTTCCCCAAAGTTCCGAGCGCACTAACTAAGGCGAAAATGACGGAGAGGATCACTGCTACCTCTTTACTTACTATTTCACTGATATGGAGGAACTCAAGTGTTTCCTGTAATGGAAGAGAAGCTGTGGAATGGTTGCATCTTGTTTGGTTAAAACAGTCAAACAAACTTTCAGCCATACTCCTCAAATTTCTTCAACCTGCAAACTGGAACACAAATACAGCATCAACGGCAGTTTTATCTCCAAGCGGCCGTTTTCTTGTTTGCTTGTAACTAAACACAACTTCCATTCGAGGATAGAATTGTAGTTTTAAATTGTTAAAAATAACGATATTCAATCAAATTTTAGATTTGCTGCAAAAAAAGGTAAAAATGGGGAAAGAACGAATACGATCTATTTGTGTCCTATTTTTAGTCCTCAAACCTCGGCCTGTAGTCCGGTAGCTTCGTTCAATAAGTGCCTATGTTAAGTCCCGAGACAAATGATTTTGAGCTGATGGGTGAAATTCGAGAATAACGATTTGGTGTCGTCATTCTGCTGTTTTCAAACGCAATTAATTGAACGATTTGTAACTTTACAGTTAAGGAAATAAAACTGATAAATTACTTTCGATTGAATAAATGATAACCAAATAAAAGAAACTAACGATTAATAATTGATTTGCGCGGCGAAATGGGCTCAATTCTAAGTGTTGGAAGTCGACCTCGTTTTAGGCGGCCGTCACCACCAAAAATACGAGGATATCGAACACATCAGCAGACACAATAGCCGTTTAGGAGTCAGTTGTAGGACAGCAAACTACCTCTTTCTAAGCATCTATGTCAGTGGTACTCAAACATCTCTCGATATTTTTATAAGATGTCATGGTCTTTTCTGCGCTCGTCCTTATAGAGGAGTCAGCGATTTCTGAGTATCTGTTTACACTCCCAGTCATTTAAGATTACCATGATGATGGTGGCAGGATCAATACAACACGAAGTCGAGATCAGACTAAGCTTCTCAAAGATTTGTCAATCAATAATAGGTCTTAAGTCTGTGAAATTCGGGTCGATTTATATTTACTTACAAAACAGTTCGTAAATTTTAACTAAAAATTCTAAAATATATTTTTAGTAATTACTAATAGTGCTTTTCCGCCTCCGTCCTCGTTAATCTAAGAGAGTCTAAGTGGGGTGATGGTTTTTACTGCTGACAGTTAAAACTTTGATCATTTAACGGCTAACAGTTAATTTCTTTGCATTGTTTTTTAAAAAATTTAATACTAATTTTATTTTAAGACGCACCGTTAATATTAGTCAATTTTTACGCCTAACGGATAAATGTTTTTGCCGTTTTACGGCTAAAGATTGAACCCACGGAGGGCCTCAGCAAAGCTCTCAGGTTTACTTTAAAATGGAAAAATTAATGAATCATTTCGGACCACGCGATTATTGCTAAAAAGCATGATTTCAATTTACTATACGGCTCTTTTTGTTAATAAAAGGAAGGTTTTAACATTATTACGTCAACGGAAAACGGAAGACGCAGAAAATTAAGTGTCTTTTTGTCTAGCCTTCAGCCGTTTACAGTAAAAATATATTCTACTGATACCTTTAACCAGAAATTTTTCTCTTGATATGTTTTTCAGGCTCAATTAACAGATTACAAGAGAAGCAAGTCAAAAGAGAAAAAAAAGAAGAAACAAAAATAATTCTTACTGCTTGGCATAAATTTTTTTTTCAAACGAGACACTTACCAATGACCGAAGAAAAGAGATTGTTTATAGTCTCCTGAGTAACATGCAGCTGCATAGTTCTGAACACATTTACATCAAGTCACTTGGTGAGCTAATGTAAAGCGGCGGTGATTACAGAAGAGGAAAGTTTTTCGTGATTATACTCAAAAAGCGTCGCGCCATTAAAGAATTTCTTATCGAGTCATTTTCAACCCGTGCCCGTGAAAACTACTTTCAACCTCACGGACTTTTTTAAAACGGAGTTGCTACTCATTGAATTCTTAATCGTAGTTAATTAATTTAAAATTCACAAACTTAGAAAAAGCAGAAAATTTTGTTTTCGCGCTTTTCTAGTAATTCTCCGTTAACCCTTTTGCGGTTTTAGGAAGAATGATGGATCGAAAATCCAGAATCTAGGCAAAAAGCTACCAAAATGTTAATAAACCGCGCGCCCAGATTTATATTAACTGATAAAGAACCCATTATCTGTTGAGGCCGACTGAAAAGTAAATGTACACATTGCATAATAATTGAAATAAATTGATAGGAATCGTTTGCCTTCGCCAAATTTTAGGTACTGAATTCTTCAAGACTATGAAGAACTTTTGACTGTCTTAGGCAGCTTATCATAACAGCCGTCTCCACTGAAAACCAATTGTTGCTGACATTTGATTTTGCCATAATACGTAATCAATATGTACATGTTAGGTACAGACACCAACTTAAGTCCAGAATTGTCTTTCCAAATTTATTGTAAAACAAAAACTGTACATTAGACGGACACCTCTTTTAAGCGATAAAGGACGTTGACAATCGAGACCCAAAACCTGTTGTAAGCGGAAACTGCGAGATGTTTTAGAATTGATTTTTTATATTTTACGAATGCTGTAAAGTTTTGAAATAATATTCTCACTGGTAAAGTGAATAAATCTAACATTTCTTTCTTGTGTTACATAGTAATCGGTCTCTTTACCTTTCCTTTCGATTTGAAATTTAGTAACAAATATCTCTTAGTAAGAGACTTTAGGAATAAGACGTCTTTTTCAAATGCTGATCTTATTTGTTCTTGCATAATATTGAGTGGGTGACGCCGAACTTTTGGACAGTTCGGCTTTGTATAACTACATTTGGGCTTTTCAACCCATTCTAAATTATTAAGCTTTATTTTTCCCGCTTAATCACGTGAGGTATATTTACATTTTGAGATAAATGCATCTTAAAGATAGAATTTCCATGGCTGTTGAACAACTATTTTTATCTTAAAGGTGGCTGGATACAGTTTTTCCAAACTCGAAGGGCCGGTTTTTAAAACAAAGTTTAACCCTTCTCTATCCAAACCGCGCTCTAAGCAATCTTAGATCAAGCGGAAAATATAACCTAAACGTTGAGTTTTTGTGACTCTGTCAAAAAGGCTCCTATTTAACTCAGCACTAAAAGGTAGATCTAATTACTCCAAAAGCCCCACTTATGAAGAACTTTCGAGGTCCATTGATCGTCAAAAACCGCGCTCAAATTAGACCCCGTTTCAATAACCGATCCTAACCGGCTACTAATCAGAGCTCTCAAAAACCAATTACTCCCCTTTGAAACCGAAAGATTCTCTCGCATGTAATTACCAAAAGAGTGAGATTTAAAATTGAGGCGTGGCGTGGCAATCGCTGGAATTATATTAATGTTAAGGGGAAATCCCGTTAAAAAGCTTTTGGGAACGGTCTCGGAAAATCTGCCATCGGTTTTTTCGCAACTTTACAGTTTTTTCTTTGGGATATGGCTTTGTCAAACAGTCAAATCCAATGCTTTTTAAATGATCCTGTTTACGGGAAGAGCTATAGAGTCCTGTAGGATAAATTATACTTGTTTTCAGTTAGGACAAATTTTCTATGTTTTCTCAGCTTCTTAGAAACTAGTGTCGATAAAATACAACACTGTGGCGAATTAAGAGTATTTCCACAATAACATTTATCGGACGCTACTTCCAAGTTTATCGCATATATCATAGTTAGAGTCTATTTAACATGTTATCTGTTTGTTGAAGCAAATAAAATCCGCTCATCTCTGATGAAAAATGGATAGTGAGGTAGCTGACTCGAAGTTACAATTTGCACGTTTTGCTTTCATATCTATTATTAATGACCAATCCAATGCTGTATTCGCAGAATTTTACCAAATGCCACACGATATTTCTTGCTTCTCATACAATAGATGTAAGGATTAATTGCTGAATTGCTGGCCAGAAAGGTTTGAGCCCAGAAAAATCCTTTACCAAACTGAGCTGGGTTCGATGAAGGGTTGGCGATTGCTGGGAGAAGAAGCATGGGCAGCCAACACAAAGCGTACGCTCCCACGACAGTGAAAACTGTTTTGGCTACTTTCCTCTCAGCCACAGTCCTGTCCAGTGTTGACTGCGTGTTCTGAATCCTGTTTTCTGCACGTTTAGCAATGATGAAAATATAGATGTACATGACTATTGTTGCCATTAGGAGAGCTGAACAATAAAGGGCGATGTACATGTTGGACACTGATTTAGGAGCATATAGGACACCAAATGCAAGAGAGACTATCCACACGAGCAGTATTTGAACCACAGCATGTTTGGTTGTCATAAAAACGTACTTAAACGGGAATCTGATTGCAATGATGCGATCAATTGTGACTGCAAACATGTTTGAAGCGGAAGCTACCATAGACATGTGTCCGAGGAAACTTATCGCGTAATCAAAAGCTTTGCTGCCTCCATTTTCGCTGATGCTACGGGAGAAGTAATAAACGCGCATAGGTAAATACAGTGCGCACACGAAGAAGTCGGAGACAGCTAAGCTCGTGATGAAAAGGTCTGGTAACGAGCGAAAAGTTTCATTTCGCTGTACGGCGAGCATGACCAAAGAGTTTCCCAGGCATCCTATCATACACGCCAAGGAGCTGATTATCGAGAGAATGATAGCTAAATCTCTTGTTAAGAATTCACTGAGGTCAGTGTATCCTTTTGTCGTTGCAGTTGTTTTCAAAAGGGGTAGACTGGTTGAACAATTCGAGCAGGTCTGGTTAAAAAGTGTCACCACCATATGTCGGTCGTTCTACAAAGCGGAAAAAGCCAAAAAAGGCCAAAAATGGTTAAGAATGAGTGAGATGAGCTACGGTTTACAAAGTATTACCGAGAAAAACCAAGAAATTAAGGATTTCTGACAAGGAAAGTAGCAGACTTTGCCATATGCTGTGTATTTATCTATTTCTTTGTAGTTATTTAGTTATAAATAAAAGGCAACCAGTTCTAGTGACGAAACTGAAATCAAATTAGGAAGTTGGTAAAAAAAATTATTGAATTTTTTTTTTGGGGAGCAAAGAACTTAGTGTATCCGTTTGTTGTTCCAGTTATTTTCAAAATGGAGGACGGGTTGAACTATTCCAACAAGTCTGGTTCAAAAGTAGTAGACTTTGCCATAAGCTTTGAATTAGTTTATTTCCCAAAGATCTGATGCTTTGCTACTCAGGCTTTGTTAATGATCCAATTCGATTTAATTTCGGTCCGTATACAATCTATGGGCCTTAATCGTGATTTTTTCAGACAGGAAACTGTGTAGTGGATCGATTTTATTATCATAGCCAAATTCAAAGCTGGAAAACAAACAAAAGGCAACCAGTTCTAGTAACAAAAATGAAATAAAATAGGAAGTTGGTAAAATACATAATTGAATCTCTTTAAGGAGGGATTAAACAGATTAAATATTTCATTTCGACGTAGAAAGGTTATTGCTTGCTTTATTTAAGGAATGAAAGTTTAATTTTTAAGGCTGCAATATTCTATTCGTCTTAATTTTTCGATGCTTTTACAGTTTCTTTTAAATTCTGGATTTTATCCTTGTTGCACTCTTGGAGGAAGTTGATTAGTCCACCCGGCATGTTTGATGGTTTCCCCACCAAGCGTCTATCTGTCTTGTTCATATCCCAACGCAGTGCGTGTGCATGAACTTACTTGAAATGATATTCATAATCAAACAAGATTTCCACTGAGTTTGTATGTGCACTCCCTACTGCCATTTTGAACAACGAATCTGAGGCCATTTGTCCATATTTGTCCGACATAGAGCCTTTCCGAAAAAAAGGAACGAATCGGTTTTAATGCAGTTTCTAGTCCATTAGAATATTTAAAAAGCCCAACGTCCTTTTTAAAGCGTTAAAGCTTCTGAATCACATGCGTTGCAAATTTTTTTCCCGGAGTTATATTCATTTAAATGACCTTTTAAAAAAAAGGGGAAAATTCTTTGGGTAAGACTCCTTAGTGATGATTGATTAAGAACTGTAACCTGTGCTGTCCCCTTGTTTGATCATGGGGTGAATTTTTGTGAATCGCAAAAAGGGAAAACATATTCTAAATTACGAAACCGTTCTAAAAAACATTGAGAAAATTTAAAAATGCAAAGTATAGGAGCCAATTTGGCAATTTTGCCATGTCATATGCCAAATACACTGCGTGTAAGAAAAGATCAAGTTATTATTAAGTGACTCGAATATACGTATCATGTTAGCAATGAAAGTCAGCGGTCCATAAACAACGTTAGAGAGAAAACATTGAAACTTAAATCACTACACATATGATGAAATTTTTACGGCCTTGGTTCACAGTTTACACCTGCATCGGTCTGAGAACGGTTACATCCCTTAAAAAGGTTCCAAGAAACCGTCGAATGGAAGTTCACTTACCTCAGTAACCGTTCAGTATTCTTTTCTGCTTTTCTTAGACAATAAACAACGTCTCTATTCTGTAACGTTAAAGTAAGCTGGAAAAAAAAAAAAGAAAAAAAAATTTAAGCACAACAAAACGGGCAGACCAAAAATAAGCGGCAACTATTATTCACCCGACATCATGATCGAGAAAAAATAGTATCCTTTCTTCCAAAGGGTGTCCAGTGCTAGCTGAATGAGAGCGAACTATTTAGCTCATCGATTTTAATAACTCGTCTTTTCCATTTATCGATAACAATATTCGTACCCTTATTCAAAGATAACTTGTCGTCTAACGCTGACAAAAATATGCAGAATTAACCATATCATATCGTTGCAGCTGCACTCTGTGTTAGTTTAAGCCGATTTTAATTTTTAGATCTTATTGGCGAATTCATTTTATGACTTATGTTAATCAGTAACATTTCCCTCCATTTCAGATAAAATTGGCTTCGCAAGTGCGAGGTGGAAATCATGATGTATCTTCTAACAGCCTCCTACAGAGTTTGAAAGTTTCAAGGGTTCTAGGTAAAACTATATTTTAGTGAAAGTAAACGGAAACCAACAGACTGTTTTGTTTAGCAATACGAGAGAGGAGTGAGTTAATGGCGTGTCTTGCGAACAGAATAATATGTTAGTTCCACGCTTGCTGGCAGCTGTTGACAATAAAGTGACATAGTATGGTGACATATTCATTGTAACAAGGCTCATAAATGGTTTCGGTCCCTTTCTCTGTCATATAGTAGATACAAGCCTATGTATTCACATAAAAATGAAATGCAGAGTAATTTTTAATTTTCAACCAATGTTTTGGTTCGGAGCGCAAGTTATAAATATATGATTTACTCCTTTCATTGACAGGGGTTCTATCTTCCCTCAGTGGGTTTGGTTAGAGTCTTACTGTTCCATGTAGAACGATCAGGCGTAAGTAATACCTTTCAAAACTACACTTATTATGTTGTTTATTTTTCAGACGACGTACCATTCAGAGGTGCAGCTGACAAGGAGACGATTTATTGCCCTGCCGTGGACCACAGGGCAATAAATGACCACAGGTCATATTTTTCATATTTTTGGGCCTGAAACACAAATCAAATTGTAGGCAAATGAATCACTCCCATCAAAGTGCAGAGTAGACTTGGCACCAAAGGAGACTTTACAGCTTTCTAAATCAACAATTATCATATACACAGCTCCAATTCGAGGTGCAAGCAAAGACAAAGAAATGATGGTAACAATCGATTTGACTGCGACCGCCATGAATTAATGGTCATGACTTAATTGGATACTCCAAAATCAGGTTTCCGAGTAAGGACAGTAACCTATTATTATTTTTCGGCAAATAAGGATATGAAAAGTAATTTTTTGTTGTGGTCCCTACTCGGAAACCTGATTTTTGGAGTATCCATTTACGTCACGACCATAACTTAATTTCTACTCACAACTACGCGCGAGCTGCTGTATGGAATACTATTTCAAAAATTTCTCCCGAGTCCGCGTCACCAGCCCACCTGATTAGTGTGTTTGTTTGCGGGGTAGTACTGAGAAAAGGGCATCAACGGAGAGTCTTGATCCCTTTTCGCGCACGAGTTTTCGAAAAAATTGACGCGTCACGTATATAAAAGGGGAAAATTTCAAATCTTTCTACTTGTGTACAAGGTTTCAGGGAATATCGAAGTTTTGCTTTAACAATAGTAAAATTTGAAATTGTATATCAGAGATAATTAAGGCTAATTTCCTATCACTTGAAAAACGGGAGGCCATCTACGGCCAACGGTTGATTTATTTGCGTAACGGTTGACGGAAATGTCAAACACTCAGTTATATCTTTCAGCTGGCTCCTCTGATTGGCTGGGCTAGGGCCCACGTTGGACGGAAAAACACTTAATCACTAATGGAACTGATGTATAAATACAACACGATATTTGAAAAGGAATCGCTTTTTAGGTAAAAAAAAAAAGATGAAATATGAACAAGCTTTTTACAGATATTAATACAATAGACTCAAATGTAATACTAATGATAGCAATGTCTGCCATAAGTCTCTAGTGCCGTAGAGCTCGAAAACCTTCCCGTGGACTGGTAACCTTTTCCAAAATCGATGGCAAAAGTGGTCAATAACCACCACTGAGAAGCGTTCCACGACTTCGATATTGCTATGAAGTATTCTACGGGTAGCAATGTAGAGCAAACGGTCTACTGAGGTCAGCCTGTAAATCTCGACTCACAACATCAGCATCAAAGTACAAAACGACACCATAATGATGTAATAACAAAATAATCATAAGCAGTAAAATGGCCAAGATTTTAACTGGATGATAACGCGAATTTGAGAAATAACGTTTTTAGTTTTCCATAACCATCCCCGCTTCAAAATGATATAGAAATATACCGGATGATGACGCGAATTCGAGAAATAACTTTGTGCTTTGCCATAACCGTCTCTGCTTTGTTTTTTGTAAGCTGGGTAGATGAGGCAAATTACCGAAAATGCGGTCATGTAAGACAAACATTCAGGCGGCTTTGCCAACTAGACTTGCCGTTTGTTCTCTTGATTGCATGTCTAACTTCTTGACAAGATAGTTGAACAATAGACAAGGGGTAACAGTAGAGAACATGTTCGCAAACCCTATAAATTTTGCGCTCCATAAATAAAGTAAAGGGATTTCCAACAATTTGTAGAGTCACACGATAAAGTGAATTCAAACAGTATCTACCAGGTTCCTTTTCAAACCTTGCAATATTAATTGGTGCCGAAGGAAAAGAAAAAAATATTGTAAACGAACGCTCGTTTTTCCCGTAAATGTTTTGTTTTGCAGTACGGTGAGCACGACTAAATAGTTTCCCATACGTTCGATCATATCGAGACGAATGACGGCCGCATCTCCTGCTAAGAATTCACTGAAATCAATGTACGCTGTCGTAATTACAGTTGTTTTCAAAAGACAATGACTGGTTAAGTCCGCAAAAATGTTGGTTTAAAATTGATTTATAGTTTCAGTTGAACATATAAAATAGCAGTTGCATATAAGATAGATAGAAAACAAAGTGCAACGGAAGTGTCGCCGTGATACAAACGAAAGCAAATAACTACCATCATGTGTTTTACAACGATTTTCAGGAATGATTTTCTAAATATTCATAATATTTCGCGGTGCAAAACTGAGTCAGTCATAACTAACAGATAAAGCAGCTGTTAAAAAAGTTTTCATTCTCCTTTACTTTTCATTCTCCTAGCGTCAAATTCTATACAAACGAAAATGTAAAAGAGCGGCAGCCTGTTTACAACGGTAGGGAAACAGCGCTTTGCTACTTGTCTAAAAAAAATATCTTGCTGCACGTACGTTTCATTGACCCCCTGATTAATTCGAATTCGGTACAAACTGATTTTAAATGCAGCGCTGTTGACATTTGGAACAGAGGAATGTTTTGAATGGAACTCTACGCCAAAATACCAAGCCATGCTAAAGTTCCGGTACAGTCACACTAAATCAAATATGAGATGTTAAGGCGGCGTCTGAAACGGGTCTTAATCGTTATTTCTCGGACGAGCACTGATCGAATACTTTGTATTCAGGAATTTCTTTCATCGAAACATCAATGGCGAGTTTCACTTATCCTTTATTGCCCTTGACAGCTGTAAGGAATGTTCCAAAACTTCCTTGAACAAACTAAAGCAAATGGAAGTTTAATGCGAACAAACACGGTCAGCTCAGATTACCCGGGAACACTGGAATACTCAAATTTAAAAGCCCTCTTTTTGCTCGTTTTGCTTTGCTGATTGATCATTTTATCCATTGCAACATTGTCCATTTTCTAAGCTCAATAGCCTAGCCTTTAGACTTCCTTGAACAAACAAATACGACTTAAATTCCGTTTATGGAAGTTTGAGCGGTGAGCAAGCACTGAAAGAAGTTGTTTCCCAGAAGCACGAACTGATAAATACTTGATCAGTCATGACTCCTTTATTTTCCACCGACTAAATTCTACTGAAACTCACAACGTTTTCTTAACATAAAAAGCCTGTTTTAAGAACTTTTGCCTTGCCGACCTCGACTGAGATTTTCCCATAAGGGTCAAATTTAAATTGAAAGCCCTGTTTTTACTCGTTTTGCTTTGCTGATTGATCTTTTATTCGATTGTGACCTTGTCCATTTTTTTTAGCTCTATAACATAGTCCCTAGACTTCCTTGAACAAACCGAAACAACCGTGCCGTTTCAGCAAATTAGAGGTGAACAAGCACAGTGAGNTCGCCTCAAAGAATTTAACAGTCAACTCTGTTCATAAAACCAAATTATCATGAAATACCCCCCGAAGACGCAGCACCACAGTTTCTTTAGAAAATCACCCCCCTTCATTCATTTGAAGGCCATAATCATTGAAAAAAGTGCAATTTTTCGCTGGGACTTTCGATGAAGAAACCTCCTCATAAAAAGAATTCTTTTGTTTTGTTTTGTTTTGCTTTCTTTTTTCGGTTTAGTCGCCTACAGGTGCCATTGTACACCCAACACCCCATAATCAGCAGGGATTTGCTAAAGCAAAGGCATAGAAAAAACCAGGAAAGATTTATTATTAAGGAAATCATCTTCTATCTAAAAACCAGCGCGCGCGGAAAAATAGTCTTTGCATTTGCTCACGTCAGCAGCGTACACCCATGGGTAAATGGGGGAAGCTAAATTGACCAATCAGAGCACGCGCTTTACTTTGGTTATGTTATAATACAACTTTTACCTTGCTTGAGGGTCTCAATGGATAAACACGGTCAACTAAGATTTACTGAAAACACTGGAGTGCTCAAAATTTGCTTTACTAATAGATCATTATAGTGAATGCGACCTTGTCCATTTTTTAAGCCCTGAAACGTAGCCTTTAAGACTTCCTTGAGCAAATTGAAACATCTAAATCCCGTTCAAGGAAGTTTGAAGTGAACAAGCACTATAAGGTGTGGTTGCTTAGGAGCACGAAATAACCACTCCATCAGTCATGACTCTCTCATTTTCCACCGACTAAATTTTACCGATACTTACAATTTTTAGATCTTGATACAAAAAACCTGTTTTTACAACTATTACCTTTCCGGAGGGTCTCGATGGGGTGATGACTTTTACAGCTAACGGCTAAAATTTTGCAGTGCTAATTTACGGCTAACGATTAATATCTTTCCTTTATTGTCACCAAAATGTTTTTACGGTTAACTTTTTTTTTACGACTATCAGTGAAAATTCTTCAATTTTTACGCCCGACGGCGATTTTTTTTTCGGCCGTTTTACGGCTAACTATTAATCTTATTAAGTGTCTCTGTCTGAGAAAGTGTTCCAGGGGCCAAAAGTGGTGGTCAACCGATTCGGCTGAAACTTGGCACAAAATTTGAGTGTAATAAGATATTTCAAAAGCCACTTTGGCTCACTTCTTTGACTGTTTGTTCTGGAGTTTCAGGGGGGGTCCCATTTGTGGCCTGTGGAGCACCAAAAATTCATCCTTCTAGATGGCATTTTGAAAGTGCTACAAAGCTCCATTGGTAAATTGTGCTTCCAAATGAATTTGACCATGGACTCTACTATAGTGGAGCTTTTACCTCATAAATGTAACTTTGTTCTCAGGTGATTAGACAGAGAGGGGCCTGGGGCTACAGTTAGGTCAAATTTGAGGCCAAAATCATTACCCAAAATTGTCAGTTTTCAAAAAACCATAACACTCACCTGCCTTCTTGCATAACCTGAACCAAATCCAGTATGTACTTTAGTGACCCATTTATCAAAATCAGTTGAGAAAAATTTGGCTTAATAAGGTTTGTTAGGTTTTTGGCACAAACTCTCCATGCCCCTCTAACGGCAAGCAAAATGGAGTTTTGAGCATAATTCATGCTATAAACAGACCAAATTCTTGACATAAAGCCTTTATTTTGTATTAGGTGAGTTAAAATGAAATACTAAAGCCAATCCAGTGTCATTATCTGGAAATACCTCGACTCAGAACTTACAAATGCTCTAAGAAGGCCTCTGATTAGCACTANNNNTCTACTATAGTGGAGCTTTTACTTCATAAATATAACTTTGTTCTCAAGTGATTAGACAGAGAGAGGCCTGGGGCTAAAGTAAGGTCAAATTTGAGGTCAAAATCATTACCCAAAATTGCCAATTTTCAAAAAACTATAACACTCACCTGCCTTCTTGCATAACTTTCATGCCAAATCCAGTATGTACTTTAGTGACCTATTTATCAAAATCAGTTGAGAAAAGTTTGGCTTAATAAGGTTTGTTAGGTTTTTGGCACAAACTCTCCATGCCCCTCTAACGGCAAGCAAAATGGAGTTTTGAGCATAATTCATGCTATAAACAGACCAAATTCTTGACATAAAGCCTTTATTTTGTATTAGGTGAGTAAAAATGAAACACTAAAGCCAAATCAGTGTCATTATCTAGAAATATCTTCACTCATAGCTTACAAATGCTCTAAGAAGGCCTCTGATTAGCACTACAAACACTCAGCGGTTTAGCAAAATAAAGTAAAGTAATAAATGAAAACCTTGTACCCATCATAGAGCACAAATGACGATGTTCTGACCTAGATATGATAATATGTTTAAAAGATGTTGAACTTTCTCTGATCTATGTTTGGTGGGCCATATTTCCATACATATCATACTCCAAACATGCTAAGTCTCTATATTTTGTCAGGCCGTTTTTTACTTGAAAATAAAGTGACCTTAACTGGGTCTTAACCATTAAGCTAAGAATAAAACGATCGTTAAGAGATGATCCACGTCTGACCTTTGAATAGGCTGAATAGCTCTCGCAAATACCCATCACTAAGCGAGCATGACCATACATACATAAGCTTAGGTGACGCAGTGAGCACCGTCCAGGTGACTTGTGATCCACCAGAGATCCTAGGTACTTTAGAACTGAATAAATGGACCATCCAACAAAGAGGGAATTCACAGTCAGAAGAGCTGGACGAAAAAAATTATTGTTGCTGTTTAAATGAAATATTCCTCACGAGACATGAGATGATGCCAACAGAACCTGCCATTTTGGACGTGATAGTATTAGGACTAGACCTAGTTTCCAACCCTCCCCCAATTCAAGCATAAATGTTTATGTCCTTATCAAGTAATAAAAGTATAGCGATAAGTTTCAAGAAAAGTTTACGATGGCGCTTTTTTCCTTTAGAGGGGTAAATGATCAGTGCGGTGCCGTATCATGGGCTCTGCACGAAACAGGAATGACTCCTTTGTTGTATCACGATATTGACGTGATTGCTTGGTTAAAACACAAGTATAAGGGGTCAGGTGCGTCCGGTGCGTCCGGGGCGAGAGGAAGACCGGGTGATGCCAAAGCTACAAGAACAGGTAATTCAAAATATAAGAAAGGGCTCGTACACGCGCATAAATGTAGCAGATGGCTTTTCAAGTGCAACTCTCGCTCTGAGCGGTCCTCTCAACTTCCCATCTAAATAGTGCTATCTACTGCGAGGATCGTGCATCATACGTATCTAATACCGCAGTTCAAAATATATGAACTTCATATATTTCATTGTATCCAAACCTTATTAAGCCAAATTTTTCTCAACTAATTTTGATAAATGGGTCACTAAAGTACATACTGGATTTGGTATGAAGGTTATGCAAGAAGGTAGGTGAGTGTTATGGTTTTTTGAAAAATGACAATTTTGGGTAATGATTTTGGCCTCAAATTTGACTTAACTATAGCCCCAGGCCCCTCTCTGTCTAATCACTTGAGAACAAAGTTACATTTATGAGGTAAAAGCTCCACTATACTAGAGTCCATGGTCAAATTCATTTGGCAGCAAAATTTACCAATGGAGCTTAATAGCACTTTCAAAATGCCATCTAGAAGGATGAATTTTTGGTGCTCCACAGGCCACAAATGGGACCCCCCCTGAAACTCCAGAGCAAACAGTCAGAGAAGTGAGCCAAGGTGGCTTTTGAAATATCTTATTACACTCAACTTTTGTGCCAAGTTTCAGCCGAATCGGTTGACCACCACTTTTGGCCCCTGGAACACTTTCTCAGACAGGGACACTTAAGACCCTTTTGCCGACCTCGAGTTAAAATCGTCTATTTGGATCGTGACTCGAAATCTGTCTGAATTCCGCTGCAACATACGTACTAAAAGGAAAGTTTAAAAAGAAACACACTTTTTACACATTTTTCCAATAAATACAAACTGTCGTTTTGTTTTGTTATGTTTTTGCAATGACAAGCATGTCAAGTGTCCTGGCAAAATAGCTGGACAGTATACAAGGGGTAATCTATGTACAATGGAACTCCATAGACTTTGCACTCCTTTAAAAGGGGATTTCCGACGATTTGTAGAGTTACAGAATAAAATGATTAGAAGCAGTATCTAGCAAAAGTTATTTGAAACAGGTCACTATTCAAACTCTGTAATTGGTGCTGCTGGTAAAGAAATAAAATATCGACAGATAACCATCCATACTCACGACTTAACAGTCTTGATCACCTATCATTATCTCATGTCATTTCGAATGATAGGGCTCATTGTTCCCTGCTAGCCGTTCCATCGTTCTATTCGCAGAATTTTGCCGAACGCTGTACGATATTTCGAGCTTCTCAGGCAATAAATGAAGGGATTTACTGCTGAGTTACAAGACAGCGCTGAGTGGGCCCAGTTGAAGCCTTTTCCAAACTGATCTGGTTTTGCTTTAAAATCGATGATGGCTGGAAGCAGAAGCAAAGGTAACCAACACAACGCATACACTCCGACCACTGTGAAAATGGTCTTGGCCACCTTCTTCTCTACCAAGACGCCATCTGTTCCCATCTGCACGCTTTGAATTCTGTTTTCCTGCCGTTTTGCGACGATGAAGATGTAGACATACACGATCATTGTTGTGATCAGCAAAACTGAGCAGTAAAGAGCAATATATATTCTGGACACCAAATTAGGAGCGTAAAGGACACCGAATGTGATAGAAATGATCCAGACAACCAGTATTCCTACCAATGCATTTTTGGTGGCCATGAAGGCATACCTGAATGGGAATCTGATGGCACTGACGCGATCAACTGTCACCGCAAACATATTGGTGGCGGATGCAACCATAGAAGTATGCCCCAAGAAACTTCTCACCAGATCAAAATTTGCCAGTTCGGCTTCCGATTTTTCATCAGCGTCTTGATTGAAGTCGTATACCAGCATGGGTAAAAATATTGCACAGACTGTGAAGTCTGAGAACGCCAGGCTTGTGATGAAAAGATCGGGAATCGTGCGAAGATTTTTGTTGCTGGACACGGTAACAAGGACGAGAGAGTTCCCTAAGGAGCCGATCACGCTGGCTAAGGCGCAAATTATGGTGAGGATAATTGCATCATTCTTAGTTAAGAGTTCACTGGTGCGAGTATATTCTGGAGTCGTTTGCTTAGGTAAACTAGTAGAACAGTTCCAGCACGTCTGATTAAACAGGTTCATCTGGTATTGATCCATCAGCTCAGAATGTCGGTGCTCTAAACAGAGAAATAAAAGAAGACAAAATAATGGAAACGATATCCTGATTTAAAGGCAAGGTCGAAATGCTTTGAGTTTTCCTGTCAATTTAGTAAGCTGCCGTGTGGCGTTAAAATTTTTGCGAGCATTTTACTTTGATGATTGGGGATTTATTTTTGTGTGTACTTTGCGATTGCATGAGATGATTCGCTATAATTGCTTTTGGAGACAAATTTTTGCGGTTTTGTAGTTGAGCGGCAGAACACTTGACTAAACAACGAAGAAAATTTTCTCACTTTTCTATCTTTAAGAGGTAGATATGATTTGTAGGTTGACATTTTGACAGCATCTTTTCTGTCTTTCGGTGCTTCTCTTTTAGGCTTCTACATGGTTCAGAAAAACTGAGTGTCAGTCATAAGAATGAACTCCAATGGTTGTGTTTCTTCTTCTTTGCCTACGTAATTCGGCTATCGAGAGGCCCAAGAAAATTTTAAGAAAAAGCAGGTGGACAGGTGTTAGTAATTTAGCACTAACTTTTGAGGTTTTTTTTTTTTTTGCAATTATTCTCCTAGTATGTCTGTTTCAGTCCTAAGTTATGTGTATTATTTCACAAATTCTACTTTCACTTCATAAATTGTCTTTGTTTATTGTGGAAAAGAAGAAACTCTGGCATCGGTTTGAAATGATCTGCTTCACCTATGTTCATAAAGTCAGTGCATGTCAAAGCGAGCCCAAAACCACAACAGTAAGATATTTTGATAAAATAATTAACTGTCTAATGGAGGGCGAGAGAAGGCTCAGATAGAGAGGGAAGAAACATTTAGACCAGTGCTGATGTCGACTTCAATTTTGCTTAATTACCTTGATCTGCGGTTTGTCCTTGAGACTTGCTGGTCGCCGCCGTATAATTTTTTGTCTCAAAATAAATGAACTAGTGTTGATCTGTACGGAATAAATCAGTCACGTTATCGACACAAGTCGCCATGATATCCTTTTTGTTTCACACGCATTATATGGGAACTTTGATTCTAGCTCGTCAAAATGGTTAACAAACTGTTTGAAAGGCTCAAAAGTTATAAATCTACCCCAAGATTCGTTTACCAGACATACATTATTTATCCGAGCAGCCTGCACCTGTTGTTTGTTATTGACTCTAACTGTCACCTAACGATTGTGCAATTTGTCGCAATTACAATAGATTATTCAAATACCGTCAAAGTTACGACTATCACAATAGCACGCACAACCCACTCAGTGAAATTGTGGCCGTTACTTATTTTCTTTTATCAGAATAGTTAGATATCTACCAACTGGTAGACCATACAATTCTCTTTTGTTTCAGCTTCCTTCAATCATAAATATCCTTTGAAAAACTAGCTGAAGACTAAACCAAAGTCTTCTGGAAAAAATTCTCGTTCTTTCATAAATAACCAAAACAAGGCGTAATGTACTTGCTTCAGATATGACAATGAAAAATTAAATAGCCATCTATCATATTGGAAAAAATCCATAAGGCATATTATTAATTAGAATTTGGTGACGTTAATAGTGTTGCCTATTACGGTTTTGTGAGAGAATGACAACTTCGCTCTCAATTTGATGTCTCAGTTCGTGAAGATAAAGTCTTTGTAATTAATTTCCCTCCTAGAATTGAAGTTCCTTCGGCAGTTTTGTGAGTGATTGGACAATTGTATGACAAAAAAAATGTTTCTTCTTTTCATTCTTAATGACTCCAGAGATTATCAACCTTAACTGGAACATTATTCCATGTCAAAAATTAAAGAGAGATTACATAATTCAAAAGTCTTTTCTTTATCCCATAATTAACCTGATTTCAAGGAAGATATCTGTTTTGATACCACTTAAACTTTTATACAAGTTACGACTCTTTATCATCTAGATAATATCCTGAAAGCTCTTAAGTGATTCAAGCCTTCAATTTGAACGTCAAATTCTACGTGCAGCTTTTCACAACCTTTGCTACAATTTTGTTTCGCTTCAACCTTCCACATAACAAGTGAGTTACCTAAAATGCAGAATATGTTATCAAAAAATTCGTGATCTAAAGCAATGGAAGATGAACTGTTCTTATAGCTAAACTTTAAATGTTAAACACAAATAGCTAAACTTGCTTTATATAGTTTTGATGAACACCCAAAGCATTTGTAACTGTGCTTTACATATGCATATCCATTACCTGGTCCTTCAATTAATGTTATCGACGTTCTATGGGATGCTTTTTGAGTTACTATTTTTTTTTAAAAAAAATAACTAAATGTTAGCGTATAGGTTGGTGTATTGTGGTGTAGTGTCATCTGTTCAGCGCAATTTGGTGTATCTCTAAGCAATCTGATTGGCGCATCTCTTTTTTTGGTGTATCTCAACGTTACCTGATCCTTCAATCAGTGTTATCGACGTTCTATGGGATGCTTTTTATTAGTGTTGCTTACCTTTTCGAATAATGACAAGACTGTAAAGTCATTTGTTTCTTTTAAATTTATATAACTTTATGTTGTCAAACTTCTTTGTTAAGTCTTCGAGATTATGCTGCTTTCCCGTGCTTTCTTTCACAATCAGGGGCAGATTGACTAATCTCTTGTTGTTAATTGAATATGAAGGTTTATAGTCAACCTAGAATGTCTATAGAAAGTTTAACGTAAATGCTAAGTAGTTAAAACATCCAATTTTTTATAAAAATACATCTAGATCAATTTTTCTCGAAGTTTAAATAGATCTGTTAAAGAGTTTTTGGTAGAAAGTTTTACGAAATGTGAAAAAACATGACTTGTCCAAACATTCATCAATATAAGTGTGTTTCCATAAGGTCGTAGTAGTAGCAAGTAGGATAAATATTGTAAGAAATATACAACCGTTTTTAGAGACATGTTTCGAGGCGCGATTCCATACCGACCAGAATTAATTATGCATTTGCATGCGTTAATTTTGGCCAAACGATCTTGATTCTAATAATTTTTGGCTAGCTTTTAGTCACTGCATGATAACAACAATTTTACCTCTCACTAATAGGTAGATGTTTAGCAAAAGTCTCGCCATATCTCATAAGTTTCACAGTGAGAAATATGATCATCTTTATACACGATGAAAACACATTGCAGACCATTAACCATCAGTCTAAACCCTAGATTGCATGTTGACGGACACCCGTTTGACATATGTTCGCATAAGTGTACTTGTCTTTCTAACTTTCTGCATTTAATACTTTTTTTTAAAAAAAAATTCAATGACACGCAACTTACCTGGACAAAGAAGCTCTTATTTGTACCACCGAGCAGGCTCCAACGACTTCCGCGGCGAAGAATAACATGAATTGCAGATCAGACCACCCGGCGAATTTGATGGGATCAACTGAAACTGTTGCTGTAAACAAAGAACCTTTTTTGTATTTTAGGTGTGGATAAACTGGTTAAAGCCTGAAACGTAGATCCGACAGTTTAATTCTTTGATACGGAAAAAAAATTTCCTGTTTTTCCCACCTATCTTCAAGGTTAGCGTGAATTAATTTAAACGCTATTTCAATCAAGCAAGCATTCTCGCTCTGAGGGTCTTTTGACAATGTTAATTGCATCCGAAATTTACATAAAGATCTACAGCACTTTAAACAGTTGAATATCAAGCTTACTCTGTGGTAACTTAGTGCTGTCTTCTATATGATGTTTTGGTTTTTTTTATTTTTTTCTGCTGATTAGTTTTGTGCTTTTCCAAGTTATCCTAGAGAGAAAATAAGTTGTAGCAACTTGATCTAAATGTGTAACTGCCTTCCTTCCCTGAAGAACTCGATTTATTTTGCCGAAACTCGGTCTCCTTTCGCGTCTTTTCATTATTGAGAAATATTTCACAATGATTTCGCGTGGACATTTTAAAAGCTAAACGAATACCTGCTTTAACAAATAAACTCATCCCTAAATGGTCGAAATTAGTCTAAATCATGATAGTTCTGCACCTCGACAAAGAAAATTTTCATTTTAGACAAATACGGTCCCGTTTGTTCAGGGCCTCTTATGAATGAAGTCCAAATCAAACAAACTTTGCAAAATTAAAATAACAGTGATGAAAGTCATGAAAATTTCATGCATCGGATGTGGACCCATAAACAAAATATGAAAAATCGCTGGAGGTTTCTCTTGCAAACTACCTGCTCCATTTTTTGAACTTTCATGTTGTTGCTTACAAGCTACTCTTAGGATGGGTTTGTCTTTTTTCGTAAAGATCGTATCAACCCTGGAAATGCTTTCTATAGCACGAGTCGGCATGCACTGAAGCTATTTCCTTTCTGAGTTGTCTTCAAAGCCAGAAAGGCGACCACCCACAGTTAATTTTCTATTGTCTCTCTTGTTTATGGCTATAGTTTTCAGTCGCTGTTGAAAATTAACTTCAGTTCAAAGTGAAGAATCTTAGAAGCCCTTCTTACCACTNGGCCAGATTGTGGTGAGTGGATTCTTTTCTAAAACACATCAGCAACAGCTCATAATTCGTGTTAACATCTGATTAAGAGTTACCAGTTATAAAAGTTAAAAAATTCATTAAGTTTAAGTAGTCCACTGGTTTTTCCGGTTTTATTCTTAGTTTAACAGTTGGCTTAAATCGATTTGTTGATTAAGCATCGATACATATGTTACATATGAGAATGACAGGTAAGTATACAACAGTCTATTTAGTATCACCTTAATATCTCCTCAGTGTTTAATGCTCATCTTTGCACTGGTCCTTGGGTTTCTTACCTATAGCCCCTGTCAATAATGATTTATGCATTTGATGCAATAATCAAAACATTTGCCATTCATTGATTTCTAATAATGTATCTTTTCATTTCAATATTACTTTGGGTCTTTTTATCTTTTGAAATTTTTAACCGACAAAAGTTGTGAACTGTTTTCACGCTACTGGCTGCAATAAACACAAGTACACCGCATAGGAGACCTTTTTTTAACATTCTTGCCTCTTTTCACGACAATACAAATCAATTGTGCTGCATCAGGGGAATAATAACAAAAAGGTGCCAACAAATCTGTTGTTTCATGACGTACTCAGCTAAGTCTTCATCTCTAGAATAAACGACAACACCTGAGGGACCGCCATGTTGAGAAATGACTGCGCAAACAGACACTCATTCGCCATTCTAGAACACACGCTACGCAGTGTTGGAAGTCGGAGCAGAATGTGAGCAAAGCGGCTTGGCTTGTCGGGATATGAACACTTGATGTAGTCTCGCAAAGCATCAAGGGAACGATTGAGAATGAAGTCCACCATCTCCCGGTTTTTTAGTCCTGAACTCGTCTCTATAAAAAAAGGAAATGACGTCTCTTTAAGCAACAGATATTACCTATAAAATAAGTAACAGCTTACGTCTAGAGATTTCTGGGTACTTGCTGAACTGGCTTGATAATCTCACGTTCACAAAGAAACAATTACGTTAATGGCACAGTAACTCACCTTGCTCAAAAAGCATAATAGCATTTACGCAGGCAAACTCTGCCATGTCGAGTTGCAAGCTTTGTAACTTGTAAGCGAAACAAGCCAGCTGCGAAGACCATTGCTCCAGGACCAGATTGAAGGAGTGTTCAGGAGTAAGAAGCACATCTTTCGCTAACAGTACTGAGCCCTGATGTGCACTGGAACGCTGGCAAACACGGAGGACTAACAGTTCTAATAAAGCTACGGAGAAAAAAATTTAAAAAAACGTGTAATGCAATACCACTCAATTTTTTTTAATCCTTTGAAGGATTGAGCGACCGATATTCCTGTGAGCTCGAGCAAATGATTAGAAATAATAACTGAACTGGTTGACCTATGTAACTACCTAAAAAGCGTCGATGTTCTATCGATTGGCCGATTGACGTCGATGTTCTATTGATTTGCCGATTGATTGATTACCGACTCTTAATGAGTGTTTAACCGTGAGATTCTTATTCAACCGTTCAGTCCATCGGGTTTTCAACTGATTCATATTGTGAAATGTCGTTGCGCACTATTCTCACTATTTTCGAAGAAGATGTATCAATAGACTCTATGTGGAACAACAGTATGCAGATTATCGTATATTTCTCCTCGCACGTAGTCACTTCCTTCGCGAAGTTCATAGTTTTCCGTGAGACTCCCTAGCAGAGGATTTTCGCTCTTTGAAAAGATAATATCGTGAGCAAATTTCCTCATGCGTATCTCATCGTCACTAGAGACTATTGTTAGTATACCTGTGGAAACGAGGCTAGCTTGATCATCTCTGTTAAGCTCTCTAAATCCGGGAACTTTGAAGGCCCAGGCCAATATTAAGTCCACTTCTTGTAGTACCAGCTCCATCACTACTTCGACAGGGTTCAAAGGGCAGATTTCCGTAAAACCGAGCTCCAGATAATCCGGTCTGAAATAAAAAAATAAACAAAACGAGGACAATGATAAGTTGCTAAATTGAACCAATGATTTCTGAGAGAGGTACCAGTCTACTGGGAGCTAAACCCTTCATTTGTTGGATCTATTTCATTTATCCCTATAAACATCAATAACAATAAAACACACATTTTCTCTTTATTCTCTTATCTAACAAAATTGATACAAAATCGGTACAAAATTGATACAAAATCGATAGGAAATCAAGAGAGCGCAAATCCAAGCAATCAACACAATCGATCAGAACAAGGGAAAAGAAAACGCGAAGAAAACATAAATGTATCGTCTGAAGCGCTGGGAAACAGGTTTGCTTAATCAATACGTATAAGAAAAAATTTCGACTGAGTTTCGAGAGTAATCCGGTTTTGCATTGGTTTTGTTTTACTCCATTAGTCCAGAAAACTAACGCCTCTATCACACAACCAATCAGATGGAAAACTGAAATCAATCATTACTTGTTCGCCCCCGTTCTGCTTGTTTTATACTTTGATTTCTGTTTGGTCCTTAAGGTATTTTCCTGATTTCAGAATGGCGGTTTTGATTACTTTGGTATTAGTTTACCACATCCATCTGTAAAGCGTTCTATTCACACAACGTGTAGATAAATAACTACACCTTTAACGCCACAAAGCATTGAAAAGCACATTTAATTCATTTACCAGATGGATGTTTGTCTAGATGCAAAGATTTGTATATAGGTGCGTGTGATTCGAAATTTGTGGCGTACCAGGTCCGGCAGTAAAACATTTAAATAAAAGCAACACGCTAGCAAAAACTAACCGGACGACTGAATTAGCTAAAATCAGTTAATAGTAAAAATTATCTAACGAAAATAACGTGCATACTGACGAAATAGTATAGCTACCGGCATTACTTAATTCTTAGATAATCTCACAAAAACGAGAACTTAAATAAATAGAAACAGAAGATAACTGTAGTAATATAATAGAAAGAAAAACAATATAAAATTATTTCGCAGTTGCTCGACAATAAATAAAACTACAAATTCTAGTCGTTACAGAACTAATGGGTTATAAAGTATGACTGAACTCTCGACACACAAGCAATAGACATTAAAAAAATTGCCCCCACCCCCCTCTCCCCCAAATTCTAAGCCAACTAACCTTCTTTTAGGAGCAGCGTCAGGGCGGGCTTGGATCAGTTGTGTGACTAATTCAGACGAAACGAATGTGTCCGCATTCTCCTTCATTCCGATCAGGGACTTGATCCGTGGTCTGCCACCGGGTGCTCGGTCCTCTCGGACAGCTGATGGGGAAACAACAACAGTATCCCACGATGATTTTTTTCTCTCTCAGTATTTTTTATTCTAAGTCCTATTGAAAGATGTCACTTGTTGGTGGGGATATTGTGTTGAATTGACATTCACAAGTAGGTAAGTTTCAACACGCGGTAACTCAGTGTGAGAAGTTAGGTGCCACTCAGTGTAGATTTTTTCGTTTTCCCACATTTCCATAATTCTTCCCTTTCAATTTACCAAGAAACGGAAATACATGTGCAGAAATTTGATGAATTTCGTGCATCTTGATTTAGAAGTAAAAAATTTGTATTTCAAATAAATTCTAGAAATGTATAGTTAATTATAGTTATGATTCGAATCAACTTTTGTTTAATGAAAGTAGATCCAAAACTTCTTCCATTTCTTAGGTGCCTTCGCATGACTTACTTTCCTATATGATGAATATATGAAGTTCATATATTTTGAATATTACTTTTCCTATGTTCTTACATTGCCTATTTTTGGAATGAGTCTTCTATACGATGGCCTTCCTCAATTTATAGGTCGATCGCCGAATGAAAGTCTGCCGATTGTTGGACGATGTCTCGATTTCCCTCTAGACAGCTGACTTTTTGATCGAAACATCAGCCGATAGTCAGTCAAGTGTTGGACGACAATCGGCCTAATATCCACGACTGGAAGTCGACTATCGGTCGACAGGTATAACCCGACTAACGAGCGATACATCGAGCCTGACCACCTGGTGATTTTAGAACCAGAAAGTTTGCAGGTTCAGTACTTTGAGTGATAAGTCTACCTTGCAGCTTGGTATAGACACAGTAATTTGGTAACATCAACTAAGTTAAAAGTGTAAATTAGCCACCGTAAAGAGTTAAAAAGCTGACGTTTCGAGCGTTAGCCCTTAGTCAGTGCGAATGGAGGAATTGTAGGTTGTATATGGGTTTATATGCAGAAAGCGAAGCTACGCTAGTGGTGGGGGCATGGTGACGAACACGAACAAATATTAGAATTATTATTACCTAATCATCCTAAGCAACATATGGCAATCTGCGGTCTTTCCTTACATATAAGTAGTTCGGAAAGCCGCAAAACTCTCGAACAAAAGTTCACCTTCCAAATCGACACACTTAATCCCACAGGTATCAACGAACGCTTTTCATTCTATTAATTTATTCGTGTTTTTCTCGTCGCTATGTCCCCACCAATAGCGTAGCTTCACTTTTTGCATATAAACCCACACACAACCCACAATTCCTCCATTCGCTCTGACGAAGGGCTAACGCTCGAAACGTCAAGTTTTTAACTCTTTACGGTGGTCAATTTGCAATTTCAACTTAGTTGATATTACCAAATTACCTTGTTACCCCCACCAACGCAGCACCACAGTTTCTTTAGAAACTTACCCCATTTATTCTTTTAATAGAGGCACAGTCCACCTACCGACTACTTTTTTAAATATATCTGGAGAGCAAATAATAACGAATGAAGAGAGCTCGCTAATAAAGATCTGAAAAAGTTATCTACCAAATGAAACAGAAAGTTCTCATGTTTCTTAATCACCTTCTTTTAGCATGCCCAAGGACAAACACTTCTGGAACCTACAAAACTGGCACCGAATCCGGTTATTCTTGTCTATCTGGCATGACATGTTCTCTACGCATGTGTAGTGAAGCTGTTTTTGGACGGTTCGCTTGAAGAAACTCTTGCAGCCTTCACAGCTCTGTACACCATAGTGAAATCCTGATGAACGATCTCCGCAAATGGCACAGACCCGGTTACTTGCGTAGGGCTTCTCCATCTTTCACTATCCTCTGAACTCTACCGAAAACGATTCAGTCTGTAAATTAAATTGTATTATTTCTAACTTGCAATAAAATTGTATTTATCTTAAAGGCTACCTTAGGCTTTGCTCTACTTCTCTAGGAATAACAAAGGGGGATGCAATACGACCCGACTGCGTTTTGTAAAGCCGAGATGATAACTATTAAGAGCAAAAAAAGCTGACTTGCTGTAAAAGCCGGCCAGTAAGACATTGCCAAATGTTCGCCGGACATAGGCCATTTCTCTAACTTTTCAAAGCTCAAAATAATTATTTTAAACTAAATTTTCATGACAGCTGAGGATGTTTTGAGTACTCACTACACAGCGAGTGTCGAGGTAATAAAAATAATGTGAAATAAATGTAAAACTCTCTTTTAACGTCATGAAAACGTCTTTTTCACTTCTCAACGTGCTAAACTGATCTTTATGTAGCGCCCTAGATTTTTCTTTGCGTTTGACGCAGTAAATTGGGTGTGAAAACTAAACACAAGTTTTCTATCATGCCCACATAATCGAACATGCACACGTTATTTGTAGGAAAATCACACATGTCTACATAGTCTCGTTTTCGATATTTTTGGAAGGGAGAAATAATTTTCTGGAAAGGAATTTCAAATCGATTTGATATTGACCAGATATGACGTTTCTCCCAAAGCTTTAACTTGAAATATTTCAACTGATCGGTGGTCAGAAGTTTATTTTCCCGTACCTGAGGCGAAGCCGAGTACATGAATCGGGCACGAAACAAGCGCTTTTGAATTGTCGTCAGCAGGTGTTAGAAAAAGGCTATTTGGATAAAAATCAAAGTCGGCAATTGTATTTCAGGATTCCTTAACTTTTGATGCTGAGAAATTATTTTGGTCCACATTTCCAGCTCCTACTGATCACAAAGTTGATATTGTGTGAATTGATATAAACGAACATCAACCAAAAAGAACTTCCGCTTAACAAGGTAGGTAATTAACCTTTTGACGACTCAGTCGTTTACGCGAGCAGTACTCGCTAAACAAACTTTGTGTTTACTCTAGCCTGGTAAATTGGCTATAGTTTCGTTAGAAAGACTTGATGTCTTTGCTAACAATTTTCGCGATTAAAACGTCCGAAAGTGGCAAATATTGTTTTAATTCTCCTCAGCGGTAGAAAATGAATTCAATTATCATCAAAAGCCAAACCTACCAGTTTATGGCGTAACCGCAGCGAAGTTTTTCCCGTCGGGTTGAGAGTCTAGTTCATAACCAAATGTCTTAAACAGAGTAATCGTTTAAGAAAAGCCAACAAAAAGTGAACGGTGCAAGATGGTCGAGTGACTTACTAGCGTCGAGCGGAAAAATGGTGGTAATTCAGTTAAGTCGTTCACAAAGACACAGTCAACCCCGATCAACTCCTTCCTCTTAAAGTGTTATAAATTATTCGCGCATTCAAACAAAGCGTCAACAACTCATTTCCTGGGGGAGAGTTTTCTCAAAAGACGTTCTGCGCAAAATATCACATCCCTAATTAGAAACAAAATTGTAAAATCAATTTACATTTGCCTGAACCAATGATTCGGCCATTCAATTGTTTCTGTGGGGCATGCGATGAAGTAGATAAGACAGATGGATGAATTTTTCATTGTTTGCGTGAAAACAGCAGTGTTACAGCTGTTGAAATTCCCATTTCATCAGCAGGAATTTAAATAAATTCTGTAAGCATCATGATAATGTTTGATTGTTACTTTTGATGTCCTTATATACCAATTACTTTCACATTATTCAACCGCGCGTAAAGTTGGGCTTGAAAAGGAAAGTTGTAATTCGAGAAAATAATACCTTTCTACCATGAGTCTTAAAGATTATCACAATGACCAACTGCGAAAATAAACTAAATGCGAAAGTTTTGAAGAAGGAGAGCGTGGCTCTAAGCTAAAATGTAATTTAATTGACTCCTTTGAATAAACTCTGTGTGACCAAAAGAAGCGTGTTCCCGCTGGCGCTTGTAGAAATAAACAGAGGCCGTTTTATTGGAGAATTGACGGACTTCAACAGAACACATCTAAGGCTATTTTCTTGTACAAACATCTTTACCTAAAACTTGAATTTTCCTCGAAAATTGTTTAGACAGAAACAATATTTCGAGAACTTTGAATTTCTATTGGTTGTATAGCTGATCACTGTGAAAGAACCATTATGTTGGCGCTTGGAGCAAAACGAGATCTAGAGTCATGCCTTTGGAAAACAAACTGTATTTCGTCGCTGTTGTAATGGTGTCTTATTTCTTGAAGTAATTTTCTCAAATAAAAAATCTGTTTCAGGTTTTGTTTTCTGTTAGGCTTTTCTTGTGGTTTCCTCGCTGGCAACCACAGTTTGATTCGTCATCATTGCGGGATATTTTACGAAACAAAGTCTCGGGCTAAATAAGTACTCAACAGCGAAGAAAGAAAAACCCTATGGGTATATTCATACGACTAAAAACGCACTTTTACTAATTTCGCCTTTCCTTTCCTCTGTCTTGCAGCTGGTAAGTTGCTAATGAAAGAATATATATATATATATATATTTATACCAGAACTACCACCGACGCAGCCCTATTCCCCAACTTAAGTAAGTTAAACGTAAAGTGTTTTGTTCATAAAAATACGACGACAGATCGTTTGCACCGACCGCGTGGAAAAAAAAGAGAGAAAATGAATTTACTGAAGTAAACACAGGAAGCCACGACAAAAAGGAACTCGTTGGCGTTTATAAAGATGTGCATTTATCGCTGTTTGCACAAGTAAAATGTATAAAAGAAACTAATATGGTTATTTGTAAGACCGTATCTAATCCTCCATCAGTTGTAAACTGTTGCGAACGATCATTTAGCGTTATGCGGAAGACTTAAGGTGAACTAGTGTAAAGCAGCGTATCGTGCTTGTTTTTCAGAAATGATCTTTGAAAAGCGTTTATCAAACAAAATCGATTAAAAATAGGTTAGGGTACGACACGCCCGAGAAAAAAGTCGAACAGAAACTACGGAGAGTTTATACTAAGGACAATCTCTACCTTGACTTTGTTATTCAGTGCATTCAACCTATCTCATTTCAACCCAGAGAGTAAACTTCCTTGAAATTTTTATCGAATGTATCCGATCATTCCAAAGCGGAATATCATTGATCGATTGAAAAAAAGAGTTGTCTCCCTGATTCAAAACTGCGCCCGATCGTAAGCGATTACCACCGCTGGAAACGAAATTATCGTTAAGAGAAACCAATAAAATAATTATTTCGCGCCTTTATCCAAAGTTAGACAATACTTCTATCGTTAGGTAACAGCCGATTAGCTGACTAATTTTCATTTTCCTGTGAAAAACTCAGGAAACACAAACAGATTATAACTAACGATCAAAGCTTAACAAGCTTACCGAAATTGTCGAGACTTTTCTTGGTTTTTAAGTCAGGCTTCAGCGTGAGTGCTCTTTGTTCGACAGCGACAAAAACGCAAAAATTTCATACGTGAACATTTTAAAACATGCAAAACTGACTAGATAAAGTTCTAAACAGCCGGGTACACCTTGATAAAGTGAGAAGTCAACGTTTTATTTGACTACATGAATTTTAGTGACGAAGAACTCCACAATATATTTTTTTCTGAAGTTTTAGTTATCTGCCGACGGAAGCGTCCAAAACTAAGAAGAAACGAGCGCAGTTTCTGTCCCAAAGTTTTAATTGAAATTATGTTTGTAAAAAGGGCTCCGGGGAATCAAATTCTAGTTAGCAATTTACATATTATAGGCTTTATTTTCAAACAAAGAATCTTGACAGTCATGCTGTCTCCAATTTTTGGTGGCTAGTTTTACTTAATAATCATATTTGGTATTTAGGGCACGCGTTTATATCCTGGTGGGAGGATGCAGACAAGACCAGCCTAATGTAATGTTGAATCTGGGGTTCTTGATGGGGTTGAATTTTCCTAAATACGACCATATATTTATAATTTGGTAATTTTGGTTTTATCAACTGAGTTGATTATGCAAATTGGCGACCGTAAAGAGTTTCAAAGCTGACGTTTCGAGCGTTAGCCCTTCGTTAGAGCGAAGATACTCCCCCACCGACTCAGTACCACGGTTTCTTTAGAAACTTGCCCCCTTTTTTTTATTAATGATTTGGTTCGCCATACAATAATATTTACCCGTAAGTTCAGCTTCTTTTATCATGTTCGGGTTTAGTTGAACTTATTTCTTCTATATTGTCGAAAGCGTGAGGGAATCTTTGACCTGTCAGGGAGTAAGTATAATTACAGAGCCCTTTTCGATTACCTGTCGAAGTAAACTGTCAAACACTCAAACATGGTAACCACAACAGCCACCTTTCGGAACCCGATACAGTGAGTGTGACTCTAGTTTGTATTGAAAATATTTACGTTACTAGTTACGCTTTGTAGAACTGGAAAGATATCGCCTAATTCCCTTTTAAGTCGATCGCCTATATCCCGTTCCACCTTCCTGCCTCCTCGACCATCATCAGTTCTCAGTTTGTTTTATTTTTCCCGCATAAATATTTTTTAAGCTTACCAAACAAACAATTTTTAGTGTCCATTAACCCTTTCACTCCCAAGATCTGGCTCCGGTTGTTCAAAGGGCGCGTGGATAGCGCTATCCAACGGTTAAATCGCTATCCAACGGATAAGTGTTACCAAAACGTACAGCGCTATCCACCGGATTGAGATTTATCCAGTGTATAGCGTTATCCATCCTTCAACAACCGGGGCCTGATTAGTAATTCTCCTTATTGTCTGCCGAACAATTCCTATGATGTGGAAGAGGACATTATTCAGTGACTGATGACACAGACACAGGCATTCTCCGGGAGAGAAAACAACTCCGAGTGCTCCCTGTAGGAGGTCGAACCTACGACCTTCCAATTATTATTTTGGGAACTCTGCCACTGAGTTATAGGAGACTCGTGGCAGGTTAAGGCATTTAACTAGGTTTTTAGGATGGTTGTTCGGAGAATTGGGATTGGATCAACCTATAATCCCCTTGTTGATATCTATATATTTTTTTTTATCATTTCGCTAGCAGCGCCCGTCGGCGATATGAAGCGAATCCTGCGTTCTAATTGGCTACCCGAGCGGGCAAGATGGGCCCATCTTAGATGGTCCATACAGATCCCGAGCGGGCAAGATGGGCCCATCTTAGATGGTCCATACAGATCCCGAGCGGGCAAGATGGGCCCATCTTAGATGGTCCATACAGATCCCGAGCGGGCAAGATGGGCCCATCTTAGATGGTCCATACTGATCCCGAGCGAAAAAAAAATTGCGCAGTGCGGACTTACACAGTTCGTAATTTTTTTGAAAATCTCGGTGATGAAGTCACAAAAAGTAGGAGAAGACAGTAAAACAAAGAAATCATAAACAACTCCCGTGGGTATATTGTGCTACAAATACAGTTGGCTCTCTTTCCCGGCTCTCGCAATTAACATGCTATTCTTGATCCTTTAATTTATGAAGCGAAATCTTCTTGCAATATAATATTTCCTTAAGCGACCAAGCTTGCTCGATCAAGTTGGCTGGTTTTTGGCCTCGTTATTTTTTTGTTTTGTTTTTGTGATCGTCGACTTCGTCTCGGTCCTTAACAAAGCTTAAAAAGAAAAAAAAAAAAAAAAACTCGGTCAGTATCCAGCCATCTTGACCTCACACTTGATCATTAACGCATGTCTTTTCTCATTTCTTCCCTTTTTGATATTGTATTGATATCGCAAGGACAAATTCTGTCTTGGTCACCTATGGGGTGGACTTCTGTCTTGGTCACCTATGGGGTGGACTCCACCGTGAAATGTCGTTTACGCTCGCGACTCAGCCCGTGTAAGGTTCTCACCACATGACAAGAGTATAAGAAAAAAATGTGCCATTGTAAATAACATTAGACAGATGAATATATAACAGAAATGCTATCAATTATACCTATATGTTCGGCAGCAACTGACTAGAGCTAAGTGGCCGAGGTAAACGAGACATGGAATGTTTATTGAGTGTGAGAGATAGCTTATAATAATTTCATATCAGTGCATTTTTAATATTTCCGAAAGTCCGGCAAAAGTCAGGATCGAGTCAATGGGCGCATCTTGCCGAAGCTCATCTCGGTTTTATTATTATTATTATTATTATATTTCCGAAAGTCCGGCGAAAGTCAGGATCGAGTCAATGGGCGCATCTTGCCGAAGCTCATCTCGGTTTTAGAAGGCAAGGCAAGCAGGAGTAGTGACATAGCCTTCCCTGGACAGGATCGGCTAGTCAATTGAAGGTATATTTCCTACCCCGCCACCGATAGCTTTCCCGTGAGATTCCCTGGCAGTACAACACAACCCATTTGTACTCCCAAGGCTGCAAATAACCGTAATGGGCAGTCGCCGGTCACATTGTCCGGTCAAACATGCTTTTGCTCGGACACTACCCGTTTTTGGCCGGTCAAATTTTAACAGTCGGAACTCTTGCGAT